CTCACGGTGGTGGACTACACCACCAGATACCCTGAGGCTGTGGCGCTCTCCAACATTGAGGCAGAAACGGTGGTAGAGGCTCTAGTCAAGATCTTTTCCACGGTAGGCTTCCCCAGAGAAATCCTGTCAGATCAGGGAACGCAGTTCACTGCAACTGTGACGCAACAGTTGTGGCAGAGCTGCTGGGTGAAACCGCTGTTCAGCTCCCCTTACCACCCACAAACCAACGGCCTCTGTGAACGCTTCAATGGCATGCTTAAGCAAATGCTCACAGCGTTCACAGAGTCCTACGGTCACTGGGAGAAATTTCTTCCCCATCTCCTGTTTGCTTACCGGGAAGTGCCCCAGGCGTCCACCGGGTTCTCCCCCTTCAAACTCCTATACGGGAGAAAAGTCCGGGGACTCCTGGACCTCATACGGGAGCACTGGGAAGGCAACACAGGATAGGAAGGCATCCCAGTCCTACCATAAGTACCGATTGCAGGCTCTGACCATACACCTTGACCTGATTAATTCCAACTTGTGGACAAGGTTAAAAGGTAATCCTTGTGGATACCTACACGAGGAAAATGCCCTGAAATCAGGACAAATACTTCCATATGCGGTAAGTATCCAAGTACCTGATGACATAACCATTCCACAGGGGACAAGTAACTTTCTTTTACCCCTACAGGTCAAGGAGGGTCAGAGATTGGAAAACTCTGATGCCCTAATCTGTTTATCCAACAGGATACAACAATTAGGGATGGTGGTAACACATACACCAATGGTAAGTATTGGTAAGAATCCCACCTATATCATGGTCAACAATGTTACACCCAATAGTGTTACTTTACCAAAAGGAACATTATTAGGTCTGGCATTGGATGCTGAGTACTATACATTTGGTTTCCAAAACCAAATTATAGGCCTCATCCCTGAAGAATACTTAACTGAGGACGAAATTGTCGATCAAATATTCCATTCCTCCCCAGAAGGATTATTCACTATCCTATCTGTATATCCCCTCAACGTTGAAGAAGGCTCGTGTAAAATCGAAGAAGCATCTATCACCTTCGATCATCCGCTCAATGTGCAGGAATCACAAGAGTATCACGACCAAAGAGAAAAGGTAAGTCAACACCGAACTGACCTAACTTCTAGGCTTGAAGAAGCTTATGAGATAGGCCAGCCTGAAATCTTTCCAGGATTTCAGGAAAGGCTAGAAGAGCAAATATCTTAAGCTGATGGTTGCTCCAACGATGCTGATCGGCAACAGCTAAAAGAAATCCTAATGGAATTCCAAGATATTTTTGCCAAAGATTCCTACGACTGTGGGTTAACTAACCTCCACGTAGCCAGAATACAAACTGATCCAAATTTACCACCTGTATTTATCAAACAATATAGACTCCCATTAGCGTCATATGATGGTCTACAAGACATCATTCAGAATTTAAAGGAAAGGGGCATTATACGTCCAGTGCACAGTTCGTATAATAATCCGATCTTGGGGATTCTGAAACCTAATGGACAATGGCGTTTATGCGCTGACTTACGACAGCTAAATAAACGCGTCTATATGTCTGGTTGGCCAACGCCATACATAGACCAATGTTTGGTACAAATGCAGGGATCCAAAATATTCACTGCCATTGACTGTGCGCAGGGATATTGGACTGTACTAGTCCATAATGAAGACCAATACAAATTGGCCTTCACATTTGGAAAGCAGCAGTATACTTGGACCCGTATGCTTTTCGGTTACATAAACTCTGGTCATGAATTCGCTGTGTTCATGCATAAAGCTATGCCTGACGCACTCGAGAGAGGAACGTTATCATATGTCGACGATGTCTTGCTGAAAAGCACTTCCTTTGATAAACATATCTTAGAGATTAGACATGTTCTCACTCAGTTAAGAAAGGCAGGGATTAAACTGTCTTTACAAAAGGCACAATGGTGTCGCACCCATGTCAATTTCCTTGGACATGAGGTAACTTCTGAAGGATTAAATCCACAGAGGAAGAAGGTTGAAGCTGTAATAAAGGCTAAAACACCTTCAAACATCAGGGAATTAAGATCATTGGTAAGACTAACTACTCCCGTAAGTTTATAGAGAACTATGCAGAAATAACTAAACCACTCTTACACCTGCTTAAAAAGGAAACTACCTGGAACTGGGGGGAGCCTCAAGACCAAGTGGTAAGTGAACTGAGGAGGAAGCTCACTCAGGCACCCTGTTTAGCATACCCAGAGGGGGGTAAACCCTTCTATCTGGAGACAGGATATACCGATTTAAGCATAAATGCTGTTCTGTATCAGAAGCAGGACAGTTTAAACAAAGTTATTGCATATGCTAGCAAGACTTTGTCGCCTGTTGAAGTTAAATTCAACACGTGTGAGAAGGCGTTATTGTCGACTGTCTGGGCACTAAAAAATTTTCGTAGCTATATCCAAGGTGAGAAAATAATTGTAGAAACAGCTCACCAACCTCTACAGTATCTGCAGAGTGAAAGAATTAGAGACGGTAATCTCTCTAACAGTCGGATTACTGCATGGACTCTATCCTTACAGGGATGGCCGTTAGAAGTCCGTTATAAACATAATAAGAGAAGCCCAGTTGCCCAAGGTTTAGCAGAATTACATGACTGTACTGCTCCATCTCTGGATGATAATGACACCGGAGATGACTTCCTAGAAGAGCAATTGCTATCTCCTTATAAAGTTTATGACGAGGAATACTGTCGACCACTACCGTGGGTATACATTGATGGTTGTTCATATCACCACGTCGTTGGTGCTGAACGGAAGTTAGTTGCAGGTATCGGAATCGCCTGGATAGGTGATTATCCCAATGTATCTATATGATACAATATTGGTCACAAAAGCAGTCAGATAGCCGAACTCTGTGCAGTATATAAGACCATTCAAATGGCAATAGAATATGGTATCAAAGAATTTGTTATCATAACTGATTCCAACTATGTTCGCAACAGTTTCGTCGAATATCTGCCTAGCTGGAAACGTAACCAAATGCTGAAAAGCAATAACAAACCTGTTAAACATGGGAAATTGTTTCGTAAAATCGATGAGTTGGTTAAGGAAATTTAACCATATATTGGAAGAAAACCAAAGGCCATTCTAAAATAGAAGGTATTGACAAGGATGGTAATGACTTAGCCGATTCAGTGGCAAAGCAAGCTGACATCAATGGTGAAACCCTAAACATTGATGATCTTATGGGTTCAATTCATGTTGAAGCCATAACTAGACGACAGGCTAGAGATAATGCCGACTTAAACGTTGTGCAATGGAGTCAAGAAGCTCCTAGTGAGGACCTGATTACTAGTCAAAAGAATGATCCCATCATAGGCATATTCTATAAACATATAGAAGACCCTACTGCCAATCCCATCACAGATGAGGATTGCAAAGTTAATGAAGATTTACGAATCTTGATGAGATATAAAGTCCAATTTCGTATCATGGATGGGTTACTGGTCAGAACTTCTAAACATGGTATACAACAATGGGTAGTCCCAACTGTATACAGAGGGTTAATGCTCCAACATGCACATGATGCACCTACATCTGGGCATCGTGGTGATAAGATTACATATGAGATATTGCGTGATTATGCATATTGGCCACACATGTTAAGGGATGTTAAGACATACTGTCAGGGATGCTTGATTTGTCCGCAATATCAACCCCATGGTCCAACCCATCGTGCACCACTTCAGAAGAGGGGGGTGTCATTACCCTGGTCTGATATTCAAATTGACTTTATAGGTCCTGTAACAAGATCTTCAAGAGGTAACAAATACATGTTAACCGTTACATGTATGTACACAAAGTGGATAGAATGTTTGCCTTGTAAAGAGAACACGAGTACCGTGTGCGCCACTTTGTTGATTAACCATGTCTTTTCCAGGTTCGGTCTGCCTCAAAGAATTGAGTCAGACAGAGGTAGTCATTTTACCAGCGAAGTAATGGCTAAGATGTGGAACATTCTAGGTGTTAAACGAAAGCTACATATTGCATACCGCGCTGCGTCTAGCGGGGGGGTAGAGCGATATAACCAGTCTATCATTAATATTCTGAAGAAATATGTTAAGGAGTCTGGTAAAGACTGGGACATTAAATTGCCCCTAGTTTTAATGGCGATTAGAGCTACACCTAGCACTGCTACCAAATTGTCACCTTTTGAATTGATGACAGGAAGAAAGATGGTTTTACCACAGCATTTACTATATCGTACTTTGGATCATAACTTGATCAATGCTGCCACTACGCATCAGTATATCGAAGATTTGCGCAAGCATTTACAGCATGCGTTTGCTTTTGCCCAAAATAATCTAGAAAAAGCAGCGACAGGGGTTAAGACCTATTACGATCTTAAAACCACGAAAAAGGAATATGAGATCACAGATCAAGTCTATCTGTATAACTTTGCGCGAAATCAAGTCAAGGAAAATAAATTTTTACCTTCTTGGAAAGGGTCATATGTCATCATTTCCCCAGTAGCGTACAAGATAAAAATTCCTAAGGATGGTGATTTTGTTGAAAAGTGGGTTCACATTAACCAGTTGCGTGCTTGTCATCCTAAATCTCGATTAAGGATTATAGGTGTGCATTCGGACACAGAAGGGTGAACGACTAACCTGGATGAATGCTTGATTCACGTGGTATAGTATGATATGAAATGTTGTGATGTGCCATGATCTCATGTACGTTCATGTCATTAACCATTTCCTTGCCATCTAATAACTACATTTCTAAGCAGTTTACTAGCTTGTTTAGCTGCTATAGGCGAATTACTGAAGAGTCAGTAATAAATGTAGTGAGGGATGAAGTTATAAAAATAGAATTAGACAGAATACATATGTTGATGAATCGTAATAATGTGTTGTCCTAGGCCAAGTGATGTCACACTGTTATAAGTTTGTATGCTTAACAAACCTTGAATCATTAGTAGATAAGTCTGAAATGAGTTCCTGATCCGTGACTGTCGAAAGATGGCCAAAAAGGATGTGGCGTATTTCTGGTTCGTACTGCTCCTGTGCCAAGAGCTACGGACCGACCCGATCGCAGAGATGGGACCATCCTCCGGCATCCTGATTCAAGAGACACCAGGGTTCATCTTAACAGAGAAGAGGATCCTGAACCGACGTGTGTTCGTCAGCTTGGACCCCAAGATTTCCATCGAGAAGGCATACAACATTTCATTGATGCAGCTTCCTGAGTTACAGACTTGGTACCAGATGCACCTCCAAAGAGCACAGGACCGTGTGCGAAACATCTTGGAGCAAGCCCGGAAACCATTTGTATCCAGTTCTATTCCGATGAGCAACCGACCCAAAAGGTTCCTCACCGCTATAATTGTTGCATTAGTTTGTGCCACTGTCGGTGCAGTTGTCGCAACTGGAATGTCTGCAGCCAACTCTATTACTGTCCAAAAGCTGGATATGGAAATCTATGCGCTAAAGCAACACATTAACGATATTCATCAGGTGATAAACCAGCAAAGAACACCTCTCCAAGACGTGTTAACTATTGTGGAAGACACAGTTGTTACAACAAATTTGCATTCGGAGTTAATTGCCAAATCCACTGAGTTGCACCAAAGTCATGACTTATTTAAGCGTGAACTTCTATTTCTGCATGACTCAATATTGTTCCACACACTTGCTTTTCTTGACGAAGTGCAAACTGGAATGATCGAATTGGCAGGGGGACGCATACCTCTGTACTTTGTATCCAAGGATATTGTTCATGCGATGCTTGCCAATGTGGAGAGACAATTGAGCCTATGCAATTAAATCTGGCCTTTGAGATGGGGAGCGCTATACCTCTCTTAATTGATCCGGAACGTATGGAGATTTGCTTTTTATTGGCCATACCATATGTAACTCCCAAAAACATTTTTCAAATGAAAACAATCTACAATGTCGGTACATGGAAGGAAAATATCCACGTAAAAGTCCAAACCCCAGATGTTTTGGCTTTTCAACCATGGGTACCAGATTGGTATTCAATACCCATTTTGAATGATTGTGAAAAATTCAAAGAATATAATTTACAATGTGATGGAAAACCTTTTGTGTACGATTCTACCAATGCTTTGTGTGGGATCGAGTACCTTAAACATGGCTCTGAAACATGTCAAGTAACTATGTCAAAAACCGACAGTAATGCGTTAGTACATGCTATCTTAGTAAAAGATAAATGGTTGGTAAGCACGTGTCTTAAAAACATAAGTTTTTTTCGCAGGGACCAGGTGACTAATAAAGTAATTGCCTTACCAGCACCTGTCTCACTGCTCAAGGTACCCCATGACTCTCGTATCACCATCGGTGACGTTACGCTATACCCAGTGTACACTGACGTCATCGAAAGTGCTATTGAGATGGTGGATCCCTTCCAGAATCTAGATATCCCTCTAGATCCTAATCTAAAGTTCTTGCTGGACCACAAGCCCAACCACACTATCCAAATGTCAATCAGAAAAGATAACATTTCTGTGGATACATTTAAATACTCTGAGCTAGATACTGACCTTATTGCTCGTGTTGACTGGTTCATCCATGTTAAGATTGTTATTGGGTGTGCTATGATAATAATGATATTATGGTTGATTGTACTAAGTGTAAAGTTCAAAACTCTTACAGGTACAAATACATACAAAAATGTTCATTCCACGCACGGGCCTATGTTAGAAATGATATGATTGCACAATATGTCTGGTAACTTCTATAGTGCTTATTCATAAGCTAAATTAATTTTTGGCTATGAAATGCACTAGAGGGGGGTTATGTCAGGGTATTTATATCGGCAGACATCTTGTGCTATGATAGAAATTAAAAGTGTATATTCTGAGTCACTCTGAACAGACCAGACTCCATTTTGTTATTTTCAAGTTAACAAAGAGACACGAAATTTCTATCCTATCTGTAAAACTAACCACGTTCCCAGAGCTAAAGGAATGCATAGTATATACAAACCAAGTGATAAGGAGAACAGGGGTTGGATAGACTGTCTAAATGCTAATGGAATAGATCAATTCTAAACCCAGACTATCTGTGAAAGATAGTCATAAATCGTGTAAGTATTGACAGAAAAGGCTGTTTAGCCATTGAAACGTGTATATCCATTCCTTTGTATTGCATATCATTCTATACTGGATATTCATTGATTATTGTCACGCATGTTATATATTATTATTATTAATTAATTGTTATTATAAAATAAAATCTATTTTTATAAAATTGTGTTTTTATTTATATGAAATACTTTCCACTTAACACGATAAGGATCTTTGGGATCTGAGAATTGAATTAGTGGGCAATTCTCACTGTTTACTATTATTATCCCATAAATATCCCCACAGACTGCAGGGGCACCTTGAATCTGAGACCTGAGGGGGAGATCACAATATCAGCCCTCCTCTCTCCAACCTAACCTCCCAGCAAGATCTCCTGAAGCAAGCAAGTCTAGGCCCTTTCGGAAACTGGGCAGAGTGAGACAACCACCTCCTGGAGTACAGAAAGTGGCGTCAGTTGGATATCCTCGGGGGTCACTTAGGGCCTCGCATCTCTGCATGGGACCGGAGGGTGAGCAGTTGGATCCTAGTGGCTGAATCTGGACAAAGCGATACCCGGCTAAAACTTATGCATTGGCATAGGATGATAGGAAAGTACCTTTACAGGGCCCAGATGACAAACCTACAGTTAGATTTGCTTTATTTTTCTCATATCTGAGTGTATGTGCCTTACGTTCACAGTTTTGTTTTCTTTGCAGTCATGTTTGCTAATCATCAGTTTCTGTAGTGTGTATGGCCAATATAGCTAACTCATATCTAGATGCTGTGGCTATATTAGCCTGTTTATTACTGGACTACTTTATCATTAATATTTTATATATATATATATATATATATATATATATATGACATAGTTAGTAACCGTCATGGCTGATGATTTTTGTTTTTTCTTCTACCTGGTCTCCCACTCAGACACAAAAGTTAAACATGATACTTCTTAATATAAAATGGTGCAGCTCTTGTGATGTTTTTTGCCTCCTTGGTTGTGAATAATCTCATAATTCCACATGTTAATGTCATTTATGCATCTGTCTGTACCTCCCTGCACTACAATATTAAAGGAACACTATAGTCACCTAAATTACTTTAGCTAAATAAAGCAGTTTTAGTGTATAGACCATTCCCCTTCAATTTCACTGCTCAATTCACTGCCATTTAGGAGTTAAATCACTTTGTTTCTGTTTATGCAGCCCTAGCCACACCTCCACTGGCTATGATTGACAGAGTCTGCATGAAAAAAAACGGGTTTCACTTTCAAACAGATGTAATTTACCTTAAATAATTGTATCTCAATCTCTAAATAGAACTTTAATCACACACAGGAGGCTCTTGCAGGGTCTAGCAAGCTATTAACATAGCAGGGGATAAGACAATCTGAAAATCTGAGACCATTATATTTACCTTTCCTGACAGCTCCACTGATCCGATGACATTTTAGTACACCTCTTAAGGGGATACACTGTATTTTCTATATACATGAATAAAAATCTACATTTTGTAAATTTTTTCACTTTTATATAAATAGAATTATATTATTATTGATAACTATTGTATTTTTTTTTTTACATTTGATGTAATTTTATTTTTATGAGATAATTAATTTTATGTCACATGATGATGACGACGACATCACACAGCCATTTTTTTTGTCTGTAAACACTTTTGAAAAAGCCTGCTATTTTAGCGAAAAACATTAGGCGTATTTTACCTTTATGCTTATATTTTTATTTTCCAATAAACAAGTGTATATTTTTTTTATCTACTTGGACCCTCCTGAATATTTATAAAAGAAGATTTTACTGAGAGGACTCCACCTTTTACATCCTTGGCGGGTATTATTCCACCTACGTCTTTGGGATTAAGGAAAACCTATATTTTGCTCTCCCTTAGTGAGTACCTCTCCTTTTATTTATTTTATATCACCACATTTTATCAGTGAGCACTATCGGTTGTTTTATTCTCTCTGCATAATCTGTAACCTGCCACTAATAAGCTTGGTATCCTGCACTCCCAGACTGGTAATCCGATCCGAATAGACCATCTACAAAAGACTTTAAAGGACCAGTATATCCACAGGTGGGGATTATACCACCCACGCACATACACTATTACTTCACTCATACAGATATGACAACATCAGAGTCACAGCGAACTGATACAACATTTCTAGGTTACAGGATACAGAATATGTACAATTATAATTTTACTGAGTTTCGTTTACTGAGTTTCAGATTCTAGAACAATATTTGTAGTAGATAATTACTTTTTCTATTTTTCTTATTTTATGAAAATATCCTTTCTTCTTCTTACAGGTGCCATGGGAATTTCCATTAATTTCTTAGTTCTATGATGCATGTCAAGTCTTCAGATGACAGTCATGTTCTCTATGGCTTGTCATTCAGCTACTCTGGATTAAAATCCACTTTTTTCCATCTGAGACGGGAAGGAGAGCCATAGTGTGCACTTCTGGAATATGTTGTAAGTTACTGATCTAACTGGTATCGTTTTAGCTTTCAGTACTAAGAGGGATGGTTTCATTATATCTTGACAAAGACCTTTTCGGTCGAAATGTTGCGTTGCGTTTTGTCACAATAAAACCGCGGCTTTAATCTGGAGTGCCTGTGAGTTTCTCTTCTTTGCTCATTATATTCAATGGCATCTTTCATTTTTATTTACTTAGCTTAGGCAATTCAAAAGATTACACAATTATTCCTTTATAACTTATCATGTGTCTTTATTAATGGTAAATATCCTTAATCAAATTTCTAATGGCTTGAATCAATTCCTTTACGGTTTGATCATAGACTATGTTTGTCTTGATTGTTACAAAGAAATTAGAGAGTAGATGCCTGGATTCAATATAAATATGTAACATACTGTGCAATGTTTTGGCTCAGAAAAAAACACTGCTTTAAAGTCAAAACACTGTTTTAATAAAGCTGCCTGATGACTGATATGATTTTTGCGTGGTTCGTTGTTACTTTCATATTTGTTATAACGCCCTGCATTTTGCTTTTAGTTTTGTCAACATGCTAAGTCCTCTATTTAATAGTTTTAATGTTGCAAGAGTTACCATTTAAGATACTATTTGCAGAGACTGAGATGCCCGTGTTCATGTAGAATTTTCAGAGCTATAGTATTCTATACACCGGATGAATGGTCAACCCCATTGGGGCAGTAACACTATCATAGTGCAAGTCCAATTGGCTTTTGATGTACAAAATGTTCCTACTTATCATCTTATGTAGGATCCATTTTTAAATCAACAAGTAGCGCTGAATGTTCGCTACGTCAAGAAATATCCTTTTGTTTTCTTTCTAGGAGTCATGCAGAGATGTTAGAGAACTCTTTATAATTCCCACCAGTCCACTGCATTTTCGATCCCACAGGTAAGGAGGAGAGTGAACATGTAGGATCTCAGGAACACACCATGCAGCAGATAAGACCAGGGGAATTCATCCAACTTCATGTCGGCATCAGAACAATGTGGCTCTGTTCACAAAATGTTCAACTAATTATCCATTTAGCTTTTTTTTTTCTTTAATAAGGAATTCAATTGTTTTCCACATTGTATCTCCTATTTTCTCTATGTCTCCAGCCTGCTCATCCAGCAAAGCCAGAAACTGTAATGGGTATTAATTATAGATGCCTTCATCTAGTGATTACAACCTACCATTGCCCATGGCAAGCATCGTCTATGTCTGCAGAATAAACACAGATTAGGGGCCCTTTTATGTTATCATAATAGCAATGGATGCTCTCGTGTGCCAATCGGTAGAAGGCTTTAGGCAGTGTAACCATTTTATCTTATGGAAGTAGTTATGGTGCCTGGAGGACACTGGTGTCATGCCTCCATTCATTGTTAAGCTATTTTGAATAGTTTAAAGCTGAATTGGGTCACTCTCAGCCTATCACAGCTGCCTATTACTGGCATACATTGGTATGGCTAAGGTGGGATGCAATGTCCTTCTTAGCTACATCTCTAGTGAGGGCTGTGCTGTGGGCAGCCACTGATGGCACCATTGTACACTAGGCTTCAGTTATATAATATGGTAATAGTGCCTGGTGTGTCCTTTTAAAGCCCCAGTAAATATTCTGGAGAAGCTAGAATGTGATCATGTGGAATAGATATGGAGAAACAAGGGTTTGCCAGGGTGACTATTAATGTAAAATAGAGACAGATGAGACAGAGACAGCCTGTCTACGCAAGTTGGTTAGGGGATGTCTGGGAAATGTAAGTTTGGTATTTTCTAGACAGGGGTACCAGTACTCATATTTAATGACCAATAAATACAAGTGCATTGATGCTCTGCGCGTGAGACAGTAACATATATTAAACCTCACTGTTAATTTATTCGCATGTGATCAGTTTCATTCATTGAGTCACGTTTTTTTTCTTTTTGTATTAACGGTAAAAGAGCAGTATAGCTGCGTCTGTAATTTCTTTGCTTGAGCTCCATCCTGTGTGTGTCCCATAACCATCCCAATCCAATGAGTTGAAGTCTCCACATTGTCTAATTAGTACAATATATCCTCCTCCTCCAACACAATGCTGAAAAAACACCAAAGGACAAATATAGTTAAAATGAATGGTGGATGCCATAGTTAGAGAAAGAAGACTGTGATACATTGTGGCATAATACATTGGTAGTGGTAAGGGCTGTAAGTTTGTTTATAGAACACAGCCTTAAAGTAAACTTGATGTTAGGATTTATTAACCACACTATCAGAAACATGGCAACAAACTATAAACTTTCATATATTCAAGAAGATAAATTAAGTTCCTACACTGGCTGCAAATCCTAGGAATTTGTAGCTTATGTAGTTATTATTATTATTTTATTATTTATATAGTGCCAGTAGATTCCGTAGCGCTGTATAATGGGTGGACTAACAGATACATGATTGTAACCAGACAAATGGACGACAAGGAACAGAGGGGTTGAGGGCCCTGCTCAATAAGCTTACATGCTAGAGGGAGTGGGGTACAGTGGCACAAAGGGTATAAGTATGGGTAATATAATAGGTTGCTAGAGAAGCATTCACTGAAAACCTAGGTTATTTTTGACAGTTGCAGGAGAGGAGTCATGTAGAAGGTGTGGGTGGGGGGAGGATGGGAATGAAACCCGCTAACAGTTTAAGTGATATGCTTTCCTGAAGAAGTGTGTTTTCAAAGACTTTTCGAAGGAGTGGAGACTGGGTGAAAGTCTAATGGAGGAGGAAAGGAAGTTCCACAGAAAAGGTGCAGCCCTGGAGAAGTCTTGGAGGCAAGCATCAGATGTGGGAGTACGGACAGAGGATAGACGCAGGTCTTCGGAAGAGCTCAGGGGCCTCAACGGGACTTACTTGTGTATTAGGGAGGATAGGTAGGTTGGAGCAGCATTATGTAGGGACTTGTAAGCAAGCACCAGAATCTTAAATTGAGCCCTATATTTAACTGGAAGCCAATGTAAAGACCAGACTTTCTGTGTTGGACAGGTTGAGTTTAAGGAAGTGAGCAGCCATCCAGTTGGAAATTGCGAGGTAGTCAGAGACACGAGTCAAGATGGGCGGAGAGAGATCAGGACAGGTAGATTTGCGTTTCATCTGCAAATAAATGATAATATAAGCGAAAGGAGCTGATGAGTTTACCAAGGGAGCAGTAAAGATAGAGAACAGTAGGGGACCAAGGACAGACCCTTGGGGAACACCAACAGAGAGGGGTTGGGGAGAAAAAGCAGCAGAAAGATCAAGGAGAATTAGAATAGAGTAATGGCTGCGAGATTAAGCAGCAATTAAATTGTTGGATACTTTGGTCACAGTTGTTTCAACAGAGTGACAAGCACGGAATCCAGAATGAAGCAGGTCATGCAGAGAGTTGGATTTGAGGAAGCCTGTCAATCTTGCATACACAACTCTCTCAAGGATATTGGAGGCAAATGGCAGTAGCGATATAGGGCAGTAGTTGGTTGGGGTCAAGGTTGGGCTTTTTCAGAATCAGCGTTATCGTTGCATGCTTGAAGGGTGAATAAAATGTGCCGGAGGAAAGGGAGAGATTGAAAATTTCAGTGAAAGGAAGAGCAAGAGAGGGAGACAGAGTGCGGATGAGATATGAAGGAATAGGATCGAAGGAACAGGTGGTGGGGGCGGGAGGACCAGAGCAGAGCAGAAACCTCTTCCATTGTAGTAGGTGAGAATGAGCATAGAACAGTGAGTGGAGTGAATATGGTTGGGTGATATATTGGAAGATGTATTGGAAGGGGAGGGAGAGAGGTTAGAGATCTCTTCCTTAATGGGAGATATCTTCTCAGTGAAGTGAGCTGCAAAGTTTGAGGCGGACAGGGTGGAGGGGAGCAACAGGGTGAAGGAGTGCATTAAAAGTGTGAAATAAGCATTTGGGTTGGCGGTACAGTGTACTTATGGGGGTGTTGAAGTAATTTACTTTTGCAGAGGAAAGAGCCAGAGTGTAGAAGCTCAGCATAAAAGTATAGTGAAGGAACTCAGGTGCAGAGTTAGACTTTCTCCAACAGCGTCCAGCAGTTCTGGAACATTTTGTGAGATATCGGGTCAGCTTGGTGTGCCAGGGTTGTAAATGGGAACGCTTGCTGCGTTTAAATGTAGGAGGTGCCATGATGTCTTGTTGAGAGGAGAGAATGGAGTTCTAGAGTGAGTTTGCAGAGTTAGGGCAAGTGAGATTTGAGATGGGTAAAAGGAGAGTTTTAAGTTTGGTGGAGAAATGCTGGAGATCAAGGCAGTGGAGGTTTCTGCGAGATTGGAAAGTTGAGGGTGGTGAAATTTGGGTACGGGGTATGCCGATGTCAAAGGTCAGCAGCTGGTGGTCAGATAAAGGAACATTGGAAAGATAAGAGGTGGTACAGAGATTGGTGAAGATGAGGTCAATAGTGTTTCCTGCTGTATGAGTTGCTGAAGTACACCACTGTGTGAGACAGAAGTAGGAAGTTACAGAGGGCAGACGGGAGGCATCAGGGCAGTTGAGGTTGTTGACTGGGATGTTAAACTCCCCAAGTATGAGGGAAGGAGTGCTAGAGGAGAGAAAGTGGGGTAGCGAGGAAGAAAAGTGTTCACTAAATAGCCTAGGTTGGGCGATAGATGATGGCAATTCCTAAAGTAGTGGGTTTAAATAGATGGACAGTGTGAAGGAAGTAAAGGATAGGGCAGGGAGGATAGACTGGAAGGTACATTGAGGGGAGAGAAGGATACCTACACCGTCTCCTTTACAGTTGTGTCTGGAAGTGTGGGAGAATTGTAGTCCACCAAAACATAAAGAAGCTGGGGTAGCAGTATCAGAGGGGCAAGGCCAGGTCTCGGTGAGTGCTAGTAGTGTGAGGGAATTAGAGACGAAGAGGTTGTGTATGGCTGTTGATTTAATATTGCTACAGATGGAACAGGTTCCAGAGTGCACACTGAATGTTGGTAGAGGAGGATAAACTGCAAGGTATTTGGATGAGGTTTGTGTGGTTTCTAGTTGTTTTAGTGTGAGCAGACGAGGTGAAGGGCCCTGGGTTGGGAGAGACGTCACCAGCTGCTAGAAGTAGGAGGAGAGATAGTGACAGAAGGTGTGAATAGGTTTTATATGGGCGGGGTATAGGATGAGATTGGGTGGGAGCAGGAGAGAAAGAATAGAGAAATGAGTGCAGGGCATGAGATGAGAGAAGGGGGGAGTGTAGCAGAGATGGATTAATGTGGATGTAATTGTGTTGTTGAGGAAAGTGGATGTAAGGAGATATTTTGATGCTGAGGGAGATGAGAGAAAAGGAAAAGAGGAGAAGATAGAGCATTGCTCAGATGAGTAAGTACTTTGAGAAAAGCAGAATAGGCAGAAGTAAGGAGACTGAGGACTGAGTGTTAGTGGTTAAAGAAGAGTAGGAGTGTTCTGATTGCACGTAGTGTTTGCAGCTGTAATATCTAATTAACTAAAATTGTATGTGAGATTCCATCTAAAAAATTGAATGAAGAGCTTGGGGTGGGCAGGCAACAAGAACGGTCTAAAATTATTTAGAGATAAGCAGATAGGTGAATAACATTTAAGTTAACAAGCCGACAATGTTGAGTGGGGCTAGGAAAAGCTAGCTTTAGCATGCAGGGCAAGACAAAGTAAAATATATGATTAAATAAACAAGTACACATTCACACCCACAACTGTGTGTGTATATATATATACACACACACACACACACACACACACACACACACACATAAAAAAACAAGCACGCCCAGGTATGTTAAAGTGACAAAGAAATGGAGATTAAAGATACATTGATAAAAGTATATACAAGTAGTCAAAATACAATAAAATTATAGTGTCCAGCATTAAGGGTTGATAGTGTCCTCCATAAGCTAAGAACTGTTCTGGTTTCCAGCAGGGAACTTTTTAACTCAGACTTGCATAAAGTACTGGCCCAGCACTGTAGTGAGCTGTCGTGGCCAAAAATATCTGACACATCTTAACCAGTCCCAGTTAAAAAATTAATTCATTAATGAATCACAATCTATATTTCACTAGTGGTAAATGCATACATCTCAGTGATATTTCTGTTTTAATTAGATAAGTGTTGTTGCACACTATTAAAACAACATAACTTTACAAGATACTCACATGTTCCGAATCACATCCTATAACTTTCATTCCAGGACAAAGTGCTTGGACTGAACTTTCATGGTTAAAGACACGAAATTGAATAAAACCAGCAATAAACTGTCCTGTGGAGTGTCATGAATATAACACAAAAACTGTTAATTGTGAATAATAAAAAAAAATGCAAAATGTTATTGCTAAAGTAAATAATGCAGCCATTTATGAAAATGGACTATTGTTTTCCATAGTGATCATTGTCTAGGCTCAAACTAGGATCAGTCTGGGCACTATAACCACTACAGCCTACTCTAGTGGTTTTGGTGCAAAGGTCCATTGGCTCTGTCCCGCCACAGCAAGTAGTTAAGTAATTTTAGTTTGACTGTACCCAGATCACCTAGGTTCCTTGTTTCCAACCCCTCTTCATCGATAATTACCATTCCAATTATGTTTATAGCACCAGCATAATCTGCAATGCTGTAAATAAGTAAACGAGACACACACTAAATTCTTACAAAACATGATTGACATACTGGAACAGTAGGTGAAGAAAGCCCTGCTAAAAAAAAGTACCATGTAAAAGAATATACATTCCCCTTCCTCAATAGCTATATTAATTTCCTCCCTATCTGGATGCTACCCATTGGCTGACCAGCTCCTGAGAGACAGGTGGAATTCATGTTACTAATGAAGAAATAGGAATGTCCATGTTCGCTAAATCTGAAGATGAGGCACAAAGAGGACTTTGGTAAAAGTCACACTGTTCAAAAATGGTTTGACTATTTACCATGGGAGGGTATCCAGGGACTCCTAACACCGGAGAATGGAATGTAACCTTTGACCTGTACAAATCTGAAACTTTGCATATGACACTCATAAATAGTTGTAGTTATGGTGCTTAGATTATATATTTTAATTAATGAGGATCAGATTTCAGAAGTCAGTGGGATGTTTATTTTTACTAGCATGTGAACGTACAACCAGTATGGAATCAGTAGTGGACATTCCCACCAAAGGTGTTTATTATATTTTATTGTGTTCTCATATGTTGCAAGTTATTTTTAAATTGAGCAAAGTTAACGCCTCTTACCTCTGCCACTTGGTGAATAGAAGTTGGTTGTCTTTTCAGTATCTCCGAAGTCATATACAATAGGTATAGCTGGACCGTTATTTTGAGGGCAGGTTCCAGCATTGTATTTCACTGGGTATTTCTAACGAACAAATGATTAAAGAATGTCCAATTTAGAAGCCTGCACCAGTAAACGTTTTTGCACCCCTCAAACATTTTGCACCCCCCACCAAAATAATGCATCTTTACCTATGTGTGTCTTAACCCACTTCTTGAAATTATTACCTCTTTTGTATTTCTTATAACCTCTTGTGTCTTACACCACTCAAATGTATTTTATTCCCCATTTTCTCCATTTGTGTTCTTACCACTAACTTGTCTTACTTCCTTTCCCTCAGCACCTTTGTGTGTCTTTCTCCCGCTCAGCCTATCTCTTTTCCCCTCCCCAATCCCCTCTGTGTCTCTTTTCCCCTTCCCAATCCCCTCTGTGACTTCATGGGACTGGCTGCCGCTGATGGGAGTCTGCAGCTGACTGCCTGCAGAGCCCCCTCCTCCCTCTCTGTGCCTCCTCCGTGTACCCAAGCCTGCGTGGTCTGTAGGCTGGGAGGAAATGACAGATAATCACTTCCTCCCAGCACTCTGTGCAAACATAAAAGGGGCCTAGTCACACTGTCATCAGGCCGCAGTACCCGACCAGGCTGCTGATACCTGCCGAGGGGGGCGACCTGTCTGGATTCCTCCAAGTATCACCTACACTGCATGGGCCCCGTCAGGCTCTTAAAGGGCTGTGACGCCCAACCGGGCTCCTGTTTACCAATAATACCCATTGGGTGGCCCTTGCATGGGCCTCCCAAGGCGTGCGGGCCCCTGATGCAACCGCACCGGCGGCAGTTCCACCACTGCCTTTGTGTGTCTTTTTCTCACATTCCCCTGTACATGTATTTTTTTTTCTCCTTCCTCTGCTCCTCTTGTGTGTTCTCCCCCATTCCTTTGTGGTCTTTTCCCCCTTTCCTCCGGCTTAACTTCATTTTGTAGCAGACCATTGTAGAGGATTTTCTGTATCCTGTAGCTCTTCGTTGCGCTTAGCAAGCACATCCTGTCAGACTGATAAGGGATACAGAAGATCTTCCACCGTGGTGAGCTCAGCAACACTACAATTTCCTGGCAGGAGAGAAGGGCTGTGCGCTTTGCCCAAACATTGTGTCCCCCCTGGACGGTGCGCTCTAAGGCAGCTGCCAATGTTGTGCCATGCTTGCGTCAGCCCTGCCTACGAGCATTAGTGTTGGAAAGGCTAGAGTAAGCAGTGAATATAAAATATGTTCAAATATTACTGACACATTTTAGATTTGCCTGTAAATTATAAAGAGTTACTCCAACCTTTTTTTCTCTGAATAGTGCCCTATTGACTATTATCCTTTTGGTCCCCTCTCTCCAAGATGATTTAGGATCCCCCTAACAGTTTAAAAATAATTTTTACTTACCTTAATTCAGTGCCAATCAACCAATCAAAGGCTTCTCATAAATAGCCTTTGATTGCACCATTTAATGTATGCATGCTGAGCAAGTGTGGGGAAGGAAAGGAGGAGGAAGGTACGGCAGGAGAAAAAAAAGGAGAAAAAGAAATTAGCAGAGGGGTAGGGAGGAGAAATTGCTGCAGTTATGGAGTTTGTTTAACTCCAAGGAAGAAGCACATAACTTCTGTCACCAGCATGCAGTACACACTGACAACAAACTTAAAATATGCACAGAATTGACATTAGGCAGTCCTGAACAGAATTGCAGGCCGATTAAGTCACGTGTACTGGGTTGTAACTAGCCCACGGCACACAATTGCAAATAACTCTGGATGTGCAATGTTTACAGCAGAAACACAGCACAGCAACAGGTTCCTACCATCGAAAAGCAGAAGTAGTCATGGTGGTTGGAGTATCGATTTAACAAGATTTCTTAAAAAGTGAGACATGCTTTAATTATAGTTTATGTTTCTGCTGTTTCATACATACGGTGTACATATATATCTGAAAATCCACACCTTATACAAATGAAAGAGGTTCGTTCCTTCTTGTTCTAAAAAGCCAGTGTCTGTCCTGTATCTTTGGATTGATGCATTTCTCCAATAAGGCAGTGGTGTGTTGTTGGGAACATGCCACACACTCACATCTTTAGCACTAATATCATAATATCCAGGATTCTAAAAAATGAATACATAAAGGTTTTTAGAATGCATAATTAAATAACATAGTGTGCTGTTCTGGTGCAAAAAAACCAAATACCTCCATTGGTTCATATATGAGCTTTTTATTTATATTCATGCAAGCTGAGAAACCTCACAAGAACGTTCATATAGTACTCGAATGTTCACGATTCCACAATATTCTCCCCCAATTTTGAATGCTAAAATTGCTATCAGTTTTGATCAATATTTGTCATTAACTAATATATCATGACTAAACCAAGTATTTAAAAATATTGAAACAATTTTGATCTGTATCATATTATACCTTATAGTCATCACTTGTGGCTCCTTCAGGTGTCCCAAAAGTGGCATAGTTGGCCCAGTTTCCTTCACCCTCTGGGTTGTTGGGATCATTCCCCTGCTGACTGGACCATCGATCACCAAATGTGCACTTGCCATTTATGTTGTTCTCATGAATACTGGCCACCAAAGTCCAACCTCCACCATTAGTGGTCATGTCACAAAATGTCTGGTAGGTCATTCCATGTTCAGTGGTCAGAGTATAAACCCCATCTGAAAAATTCATGCAAAAACAATTTTACTAATAACAAGCCAATTAATGGCTCAGATGTGCCACGATGAGTTTAAATTGGATTTAGCTTAAATTTACACTGCATGGACATAAAATCTTTCAAACCAACAAGTCAATGGAAAGCAGTGTAATTTTAAATAGCTGTAAATTCTTAAAATAATGTAGCTCAAAATTGCTGTTAGTTTATTAATATGTATTATAGTCCTTACATGGATTACCAACACTTATTGGCCTATAATATTTTATTTTAATAATAATAATAACTTTTGTGATTGAGATTTAAGTACAGGATTCAACTTTGGACAAGCTGCTGCATTGCTCATGTACACCACATTGTGTAATTTTGTGGGTCTTTGGCAACCTAAGTGGGTCATGCTTTTGTATTTCTCTAGTATCCAGATTACCACTATGGAGGTTAACTGATCTATGTCACCTGATACTACCTGGTTAACATTTCTCCAATAAACCTGTGATTGACAGAAGTCTTGGTTTTCTGGTCCTTCTATTTTTATTAAGAAGTCTTTGACAGGTAAATGATAACTGTACAACATTATGGAATGGATTCCATAATGCCCCTAATTTTATTATTTTTTTTACCTTCAAGACAAGGGAACTTTTTAGTGCAAATCTGTACCTTTTTCTAAATCCTTTATGATTGTTGTGTTTGATATAATAGAACATGGGTCTCCTATTTACCTTCCCTTTAATCACTTGAAGCATTTTGGTGTCCATTATGGCCTTGGCATGATAGTGGCCGACTTTGTGTGGTATGATCATCAGCTTGAGCTGGCTATGGTTAACTTCTTCCATTAGATATCACCTGTGAAGAAGAGGTGTGCTGTGTCCTCTTTGAGCCAGGTGTCTCATGGAGTTGGACAATAAGGTGTTTTGGCAATACAGAACATGTTGATTGTTATCCTAAAATGTTGGTTGGCTAACTGAACAGGATTTGTTTTTTTGGTGTTGTGATTTTAGTAACATAAGGGGTGAATCACTTATATTTCATTTTACTTTATTACAGACATTGAGGTTTTAATACTCAATATAGATAGGTAATAAATCTTTTATGTTGCCAGTTTGTTTCAATCTACCGAAGGAATTGGGCAACATAAGAATGAAACCTGGCTGTGTTCTGCAGGATTCTCTATGCTGTCAGCTGAGGATGCCTATTGTGCCTATATTTGTTTTAACTTTTTTGTAGTTTATTGAGTTTGTATAAGCAGTACACAACTTTATCAATATAGGTGAAAACGTAAGAGTACAATTATAGGTAACATACAATATGGGAGGATACTTTATGCTTAAGTGGTATTTAAGAACATCAGTCATCCATCTCTGAGAAACTACAACTGGATACATTTTACAGTGATTTGCTATGAAAAAAAACGAGTATGGCCCTTCTGAGAGTGAGAACTAAGGGGCAAAATAACTATGATCCATTAGCTAATATTCATCTGAGCGCCAGGAGTTTGTTCTTCCAAGGGGTGTGGGCAGTCTTTGTGTGGTACAGCTCCCCAATCCTCCTAGTGGTGAAGGGGTCTGCCACCGTTATCTATTTTCATTATTAAACTAATGTGTTATGGTCATTGTGTCTTTGTAAGGTTTCATTATGTCCTCCTAGAGATGTCCTGGTAGGCCTGATAGTCCATTTCATATTAGAATTATAGAAAACGTTGATGACTTCTAGTAGCTGGTATTCCATCTGTGTAGTGTGACAGAAAGCAAGGAATTGTGCTGGATAAAGTCTATATATCTCCCCAGATTCTGCAAGGTACCTACTTTGTGAAATTAGCCCCAGGGAAATGTGTTGTTTTAAAAGTAATATTACGCTTTATATAAGTGTATATAGCGCCTTTTCTACTTGTTTTTAATTTTTCTTTTGGACAAATACTGCAATAGATAATACATTCAAATAAATCAGCAGGTAATCCACACAACTCGTTTCGACCAACCAGTCTTCCTCGGGTGTATACCATGTCCTGCTGTCTGTCCTCATATATTGCTAAAACGGAACCTCAAATCCACGCCGTTGTCAGATATGGGCAAGGCTGAACTTGATGGACACGTATCTTTTCAGACTATGTAAATATAATATATATATTGGCTCTCTCACCTTTAATATCATTGTTGACATTTCTGAGTTCATTGCAGCTCCTGAATCTGTAGACGTTACCTTCACCGGTCTGATCAGAGTTATACCTCTTATATTGCATGTCCGTTTGGTCCTTCCAGCAAGACAATTGGTCGATAATGTTCTTTTTTATCTCAGACACTGAAGTTTGCTCTAAATAGATGATTCATAATTTACATGAATTGTATTTTTTAGCAAGGAATTTCAAGCACTGAAAGGGATACTTTTTCTTTCTAGGATTTTTAATATTATGTCAATTTAAATTGTTATATCTGTCAACTATGTGTTTGCGAGATCCGAAAAAATAAATGTAAAAATCCACACAATTATCCTGGATCCGGTTGCCATCTTGGCTCTCTGTCAACCAATGTTATAAGCTTTGCCATTTACCTGAAACAAGAGAAATCTCTATGTATCGCTTCTGAAAAAACATTTTATAAATGAATAAATACATTTTCTGCGACTGAACATATATATATATATATATATATATATTCTGAATATGTGGAGGTGAATAGAAATAAACAGTCAGGGTTATTTAACAAAATGAGAATTCAAAATTAATTCTCAATTACATTTGAGCCCCTGAAAGAAATGGTTTCAATTCTTAACAAAATTCCTTACCACATTTTTGTTAAAGCATAAAATCTGCATTTCAAATGCTCTCAGTTGTTACATTTCAAATCTATTGTAGTGGCGTACAGAGCCAGAATTAGGAAAATTGTGTCAGTGTCTAAATATTTATGGACCTAACTGTATATGAAAGAATATTTTATGCAAGATTATATTTCTTGGCAAAAAGCTTCTTCAACAGGAAGGAGCGGAAGCTGCAAGGGGTTAACACAAACAAATAAAATTTTCACATAAACTATGACTCTGCAGCTATGCAGATTGCACTGGGTTGGCTGATAATTATGGCTTCCGTAGTCCACAACAGCTGGACAAATGGTACATATCACTGTGCTACATTCAAAATCTATCCACTGAAAATAAATTTGCTATACATTTGAAATAATATTTAAAATAGGAGATTTCATGCATTATAGCCTCTGTGTTATTTTGTTATGTATACATATAATAAATCCCTATTTTCACTACATCTCCTCACATACCATAGCTCTCTGGGGCAGGTAATGCAGGTAAATTAACTAGTGTGCAGTCAAGGATCATAACATAACATAACATGCAAGTACTAGGCATCTAAACAATGTATTCTGGGATTCTTTCATATCTTTAGATAGTACTTTCTCTAAGAAGATTTGTGTTTCTGACCAAAGAGGGCTGAAGATGGCTGCCTCCACAGAGCACACTGGGCTGGGATAATACAGGGGCTAAAGGAGCTTCAGACCCATGGCCCACCATTATGGTGTATCTTTTACTTTGACTATTACTGTCTGTTATTGACAGACTGACAGGCTCACAGTAATGAATAATGAAATAGTTTGGCCTCTACTCAACACCCACATTAAGCACGGTGCCTGTCGATACTAGATTACACAGGGCCTTGAAACTCCACCTGCATCAGCTTGATAGCCTGGTCCTCCTCTTGTATCCTATATGTGTTATGTCATGGTCACATGGTCTGAGGATGGCCAGGGAGGGATCCATGACAGAAGAAAAGCATGTGATCACCCACCAAAGAAGGACAAGGGCTGGGCAGCAACATGCATCCCGGAGCCAGATGATTCCTAGACGAGCCCACTCATTTCAGCAGCCTGGAGTAGTCCAGCCTGTCTCAACAGCCTCAAGGAGGTAAGTCCATCCCAGCAGCCCAGACAGTGACCAATTTTTAAAGATTGGCTACTATGTACAGCACCCTGCCACAGTGGCAAAGAAGAACCCTTAAATTATTCCCTGCATCTGTAGGCCACCATGATTTCCCAGCCAATGTCATCTACACAGGCTTCCTGGTGGCTAGTGTCACCCTGTGCGGTGACCCCAAGCTCTATGATAGTAATTTTGTGGTTGCTTTGCTGTGTTCGGTATCTTGTATCTATGACATATCAGATCCATTTTCTGGAACTGTATTTTAAACGTGGGAGATATTTTTTTATATAACTTGTTTAAATTCTTTTGTATTTTTTCTCTCCACTATATTAAGGCAGACTTATAAATGTTTGGAGTGTTATTTTGTAAGTGTATAAATTCATAGGTGTAGATGTGTAAAATATCACAACAATAGGTGCGCTTTAATCAAGTCTCCTACCCCTACCAATACTTTCCCTCAACCCCACTCACCCCTCTGTTCTATGCTCACTCACACCTCAGTGCCAGAAGAGTTTCTACTCTGCTTCAGTCCTCCAGGCCCACTACTTGTTCCCGCGATCCTATTACTTCACATCTCACTTCAATTCTGTCCCCTTCTCTTGCTCTTCCCCTCACTAAAATATTAAATCTCTCCCTGTCTTCTGGCATATTTCCTTCACCCTTCAAGCATGGGACTAAATACCCCAATTCTATAAAAAGCCCAACCTTGACCCTGATTACCCATCCAACTACCACACTGTCTTGCTATTAGCTTTTGCTTCCAAGATCTTTGAGACTCTTAAGCACGTTTGATTGACCGACTTAAATCCAACTCTCTGCTCGACCTGCTTCAGTCTGGATTCTGGGCTTGTCACTCAACAAAACTGCCCTGATTAAAGTATCCACCGATTCAATTCCTGCTAAGGTGGTTGCTATTCTCTCCTAATTCTTCTTGACTTTTCTGCTGCTTTTGACAAGGTTTATCATCAACAACTTTTTCTCATCCTCCAAAATCTTGAGATATGAGACTCTAATGTTTCCTGGTTCTCCTCCTACCCAGCTAGCTTTCAGTGTTTCTTTTTCTGGCTCTTCCTTTTCTCCTCAACCACTCTATTTCAGTGTTCCTCAAAATTCTGCCTTACGATTCTCGATCTATATATTCTCTGGGACTTCAATATTCCCATTAACCCAGCCTTGACCTTAGCAGCCTCTAAACTAGACATGTGCAATTTGTTTTGGTCTGAATTTAAATATGGGCGATTTTGGCAATTCAGACATTCGGATGCTTCCGAATGTCCGAATTTCCGAAGTCCGGAATTGCCGAAGTGCTTTGGATTTCTGAAAAGTGGCTAAACAGGAGAGGGAAAGAAAATTAAGGGAATGATGACAGGAATCTAACCCTAACCCTACCCCTAACCCTACCCAGAATAATAGTAGGGTTAGGGAATTTTGGAAGTGCTGAAGTCACGAATTTCGGAAGTGCCAAAGTCCCGAATTTCAGAAGTGCTGAACCGAACCGATCTGAAGTGCCGAATTGCTGAAGTTCCGAATTTCGGAAGTGCCGAATTGCTAGAGTCCCGAATTTAGGAAGTGCCAACCCCAAACAATTTTTTTGCCCATGCACTTCCCTACTCTAAACTACCGTATTTTTCGCTCCATAAGACGCACTTTTTTTCCCCTCAAAAGTGAGGGGAAATGTCTGTGCGTCTTATGGAGCGAATGTGAAGAATTACTTACCTGTCTTGGAGCGTGGGCCGGCTTCACAGCGCGCTCCGCGGTCCAGGAACTAATATTTCAGGTTCCGGTTTCCGGCGGGACTGAAAGGAAGTGTGCACACTGAGTGTGCACACTTCCTTTCAGTCCCGCCGGAAACCGGAACCTGAAATAGTAGTTCCTGGACCGCGGAGCGCGCTGTGAAGCCGGCCCACGCTCCAAGACAGGTAAGTAATTATGGGACAAGGGGAGGGGGAGACACTATGGGACAAGGGGAGGGGAGGAGACACTATGGGACAAGGGGAGGGGGACACTATGGGAGAAAGGGAGGGGAGACACTATGGGAGAAGGGGAGGGGGGACACTATGGGAGAAGGGGAGGGGAGGAGACACTATGGGACAAGGGGAGGGGAGGAGACACTATGGGACAAGGGGAGGGGGACACTATGGGAGAAAGGGAGGGGAGACACTATGGGACAAGGGGAGGGGGGGACACTATGGGACAAGGGGAGGGGGGACACTATGGGACAAGGGGAGGGGGAGACACTATGGGACAAGGGGAGGGGGGGACACTATGGGACAAGGGCAGGGGGGGACACTATGGGAGGGAAAGTGCACTATGGGACAATGGGAGGGGGGGACACTATGGGATCAGAACACTAATGGACAAGGGGAGGAGGGGTTAAAGAACACTATGGGACAGGGTAGGAGGGGTTAACAATCACTATGGGACAGGGTAGGAGGGGTTAACAATCACTATGGGACAGAGGAAAGGGGGGTTAACAATCACTATGGGACAGAGGAAAGGGGGGTCAAAGATCATTATGGGACAGGGGAGAAAAAAAAATATTCTGAACAAACTGTCCCATGGTAAGAAACACTATGGAACAGTTTGTTCAGAATATTTTTTTTTCTGGGTTTCCTCCTCTAAAAACTAGGTGCGTCTTATGGTGAGGTGCGTCTTATGGAGCGAAAAATACGGTACTTCCTCCCTTGGGCTATCACAGTGGGCTTATTTTTTCCTATGAATGTACAGTGTCTAATATCTGCAACCCTCCATTTCCCCTTTCTGATCACCACCTCTTATGTGCTCTCGATAATCACCACACCCAACAATCTCAGCCTAACTCCCCTCAACTCAGGAGGAACCTTAATTGTATTGATCTCCAGCTGCTGTCAGCTGATATTGATTCACAACTCCTATCCATCCCTTCCCTCTCCTGTCCCTCACTGGCCATCTCCACATATAACACTACCCTCACCTCTGCCATGAACATTGCAGCCCCGCTCCATACATGCACCTCAAGGAGGACACGCCCCCAACCATGGCACATTAAATCAACATGCTACCTGCAAAGATTCTCCCGTTGTGCTGAACCCTCCTGGAGGAAGTCTCGCACTCAGTCAGACTTTCTCCATTATAGATTCATATTGTGTTCATACAGAAAAGCCCTTGCACAGGGTGCTTGACTGGGGTCCTAGAACCACTCCATCCTGGAGCCGAATGGGGAATTCGCTCAAGACACCCCCAGGCACTGGACGACACTCAGTCCTGGGAGGACTAGGACTTTTGGTTTTTTGTGAGGGTCCAAAATGCGAGCGGCTGCCAGTGAGCTAGTGTTCAGTTCTCTGGCGTAAATGGAAAGTACTGAACCAGGGGCAAAATATGGGTCTTTACAGTCGCTGACATGGTCCATAGTCGGTGGGCTGGAGGCCGAGCTTCCACACTGCTCCAGAGTCCGTGGCAAACATCTGTAGGCGGCGTT